GTGCCAAGTAAAAAAAAGCTCAAGTTTGTTGGATTAAATATCTCGGAAAGTAAATATGCCCATAATTACGTGAAAAAAAATATTCAGTTTGAAACAATTTGTCAGTCAAAGTAAGTCAACGGGACAAATGAGCTATTAAAGGATGAATTCAGCATCTTTTAAAATCTTAATATGGTGGTTGACTCCATCTCAACCCTTCTCCTGATACCGGTCGTCGTGGTGGTGGTGGTGGTGGACTCCTGACCTGACTGACACTCGGGACCTTTGGAGGAGTTGCATTGTGCGGAGTGAGAGCCGAGTGCCTCAAGTCATTTGTAATTGTCAATCCTCTGCTCCTACTTACTTGACTTGAGACTCTCCCAGCTACTTGTTACATGCATCCACTTTTCTCATGTGGACTAAACTGGTGTGTATTTAAGTCAGTGGTGGATATGCAACAGCAACTAATACGCTCAACCCTTCCTGTTGACGTGTAACAAGTGATTTGTCTCTAATTCTACACACACAAGAAGGCGACGACTCTCTTCTGGTGGTATGGATGGATTTGTAGTGATTTGTTTACTCTAATGGTTTGTTTAGCGAGGAAATGTACATAATTGACGACAAAGTTAAAAGTCGACGCATAATTTCTGTGTGCAGTAATAAAATGCATGCAAACTGCACTTCATATCATTTATTTCTCGTCCTCCCCTGAATGCACGCACCTCTTCTCGAAAGAAAGGGCTAAATCTTAATTTTCATTTTATCGTTCCCGAGAGCCAGCACAGTAATAAAGCAGCGATCCGCCCATCACATTCCTAAAAACTAACTAATCACATTAAATCACTTGAGAGAAAAAGGCAACTTTAGCCACCATCACGAGCACCAGCGTCATAAATTAGTGGTCCCTGTATGTGCTCTCCTCTATCCTGTTCTTCTTACCTATCTCCTCAGTTAAATTAAAATTACAATTACCACTTGGCAATTTCCACCAGTCCATCTCGGATTATTTATTTGATCTCAAGTCATCAAGCTGACTCAGGTGGCACATCCTCATCCAAACTATAACCAAAATCAACTCCTTTGCCGTTTCGCTGTAATAAGAGGAGTAAACAGACATGCCGTGTTTCTTACTTACTTTTTCACGTAATTGCAGATAAGACGACCCGTTAAATAGTTTGCATGCATGGATCAACCCTTTGAGAGAAGTGTCGACTATCAATCACCACCACGACCACTACCTGGCTGGCTCTTGGCTTGGCTTGGTCGTGCAGTTCACATTTATGCAGAGATATGAAGAAGGTGAGGTTGGGCTGGTTGAGATGAGACTCGGGCTATTAGAATTATTTTGCCTAATACGAAATAATCTTGATTTCTTGAGACGTGGTAGGCTGAACGTAACAAGAGTTATGGCCGTCATTCCATTCCCAGAAAATAAATGAACCATCAATCATCCGTCAATATAAATTTTAGGTTGACTGCTGCTAGTCATGAGGCTACCTTACGTATGTACTCTTATTATTCCTTTATTATGGGTTGGTGTTCCTCCCATGGACAAAATTATGAGAGGAGCAGCAGCAGAATCCAATCCAATCCTACCAAGCAACGTGAAATTAGTTCTCCTGTGTGGTAGTAAGTAGATATGTAGGACCCTTTTGGTAAATAAACTTGAGGTGTAATAACCAGGTTGTTGGATGGTGGTGCACAGTGATCTGTTGGTCTGGTCTCCTCCTCTGGCAATAAAATTCGTTGGCTGGGACAAAGACAATCTTCTTGCTATTGTCTATACAGGCCGCGTGATGGCATGTACTTATTTGTAGGTATGCAAGAGGATGGATGGGTCAGCAGTTGGCGAGCTCCTACTGTTCCAGATATGTACGAAATGAGACAAGACGGAGATGAACATAAAACTGGAACTCTGCTTGTTCGTCTCTCGTAATGATTGCCGGTTATGCTATCTGCCCACCAACTTTGCCTTTATCGGTGCTCATCATCACACTTATTGCCATCGTCACATCACCCACGACCCACCAACCAATTTTACTTTGCGATTAGTCAAGAGAGCGGTTACACAGTATTAAATTCTGCAAATCATAAGTGTCCGTCTTCAAATGACAAAATTCCAATTGTCACATTTTTATATGTTTTTTTACATGAGCAGTTTTGACCGTCTTGTTCTTAAATAGAGTCAGAATGGTGCAACGTAGTTTGTGACGATGATGACGAAATTATCAGTTGATGTCAGTCCACTAAAAAATAAAATGTGACCATTTCTCTAACTCACGATTCAAGCTTGCACGCTTGTCAATCACTTCGCTTCATGATACTTTTGCAGCAAAAACTAAATTAATGATTAATGTTTGATGCAGAGACACAAACTCATTGTCTCATCTCGTCTCTTGTTGGTCGTCCTTTTGTATTGTGAGAAATCACAGCCCAGCCAAGAAGCATACACGTAAATACAATATATTGTATATGCATCGAGTCACGGTGAAAAAAAAATCTGATTTGAGCCGAACCAAACCAGGCAGCCTAATTATCACTCAGTCAAGTCAAAGTAATGCACTTCACTATTCACAGCTCTGGCATGATTGACAAGTATTGAGCTGATGGTATGTGACAAAGGCGGATCCATGAAAATGCAGCAGAAATACGTATTCGTGACGACGGTGAATTATTATTTTTCTAAAAATTTTACTTCCCTTCATTTCATTCTGATTAATGTTGGTCATGAGTGTGATGGATGAACCCTTTGAAAAAGAGCTAAATTGTGTAGTTATTTACTACTTGGTCCAGCATGAGTCAGAGTAAGTCAGAGTAAAGTGCGAGAATTCCCACGGCCAAGGAAAGCAAATGCAGATGCCTAATACAGACTTACTTATCTATTTACAGATTTACTTGTCTCTCTCTCTCTCGACCAAAGTACAGCGGGCTGAGCTATGTTTTTGCTCACGTAATTAAGAGATAGAAAAGTCTCTAGTCTCCGGCTCTCTATTGAATTTGGACTCGTTCAGCCTTTTTTTTTACTCAAGGTAAAGCACATTATTGAAAGTCAAGTCCACTTTTTATCACGAGGATGAGAATGAAAGGCCAGCCTGGAGCTTGGAATCATGAAGGAGAGGAGAGCACTTTATAGGAAAAATCAATTTTTAAAAATTCTGCCAATATTTCCGACAATTTTGTGCATTAAAAAGACACATTAAGCATGTAATAACACATGTTATTAGGTATTTAACGTGTTGTATTACATAGTAATTTGAGGTGAAAAAATCAACAAAATAAACCAACCGATGACGATAACTGACTCTGCTTTAAATGCCCGGAAGGTGATTCCTCTTGAAAGAGCAGTATCTCACTCACTCGTTCGGTGCAAGTTCGTGTCCACCACATCTGTCAAAGCCTTTTCATCTCGTCGCTCCTTTTTATTCCTGATTTGACAGCCGCCAAGCATAGTAAATCCAATCCAAATTATCTTGTACACTTATTATTACGCCGTGCATTATGTTCCTTGATGCACGGGTAGTGGTGGTATTTACAGAAATTGCTGACCAGTTGGACCGTGCAACACCTGCTTTTCCCCCCTTTTTAAACGCCTCCACCACGGCGGACGGACACAGCCTCGATGCAGCAGCTCCGACCTAGAACATTTTTAAACGTCACTTTTTTAAGTCACTCACTCACTCGTCATGATGATGTGATGGTCCAAATGGAGTGAGTGAGTGAGTCTTGTCTGCCTTTGATTTTGAAGAGTTGAGTCCATCCAGTGAAAAAAATGATGAGACGAATTCAAATCTCGAATTCCTTTGAGACATCTCTCACTCACACACCGGACGACGACTGCTCTTTCATCAAAGCCACCATTTTTTGTTTGTCACTGCCAAAGAGAGAAACGGAATGGAAGAAAAAGTGAATCATGTTAAAGCTCAATCATTACAACACCTCGAGAGAGCAAAGTGGATTCGTTATAAAATTCAAAATTTTGATGAAACGATTTTTAAAATTATCTACACGATAGGCAAATGTGTCCCACTTAGATAATCGCATGCTTTTCGTATCATCAAGTAAATAGTAAAAAATATTTTGCACCATTACAAAACACACTTTTCCTACATGCATATCAGAACAATTGGATTAGTTGCTTTACGAGTGAGGACCTATTGTTATTGCCAACCTGCATGCATGAAAAAATGACTTGTGCATATAGTCCGTATATATATCGCAACCCTGACCATCCATCCATCCATCCAGCCAACTATCTATAAAACACATCACACATTACTTTATTACGTCTCATCGTCCATCACTGTCCTTCCATATCCCAGGCTTGTCAAAGTACGACAACGCATCAATCACTGCCCATCATTGTCAAGCTTCACTCTTCTATAGGACGACTACTTTACCAAAATAATCCATCCTGTCTATCTCTCCTCTTTCCCCTTCTTCTCCATCCTCGAATATAAATAATATAATAACCCTCACGCAGTTGATGATATTAAAATATCAGTCATCAAACTCAAACTACAATCGATTTGATGAATCGATCCGCACACATACATACACACCACACCAGCCCACCTCCCACCAATCCAATCCAATCCACCTGCAACTCACTTATTCATTCAATCCAGCTAAAACTAAAGCTGAACACGAACATTAAAATGAAATGACAAACACCAAACTGAAATATCCTGGTCGGAGAAGTATTAGTTTGTCATTATTCCATTTGTACCTGGAGGTGAAAGGTGCATGGTGTTTCGAGCATTTTTAAGCCTCATTTCATCAAGTTTTATGAAACAATTTCTCCACTTAAAACTGAAAAGTGGTCGTCGTCATCTTGAGAAGAAGCATCAAGTCAAATAGTTAGTGAGCGAGTGAGTGAGTGACTAGTGCACCAAGAAGGCCAAGCGCACACGCGGGATGTATTTTCCTTCCATCACGAGATCACATCCACATTTGCACTGCCAGCCTTTCATGCCTTTTACTCGTCTTGCTTGGTGGTGAGAGAGAGTGGAGTAGACTGGGCTACGATGTGATGTGACGATCAGTAGACAGGTAACGCTCGCTCGGGTAACACTACGAACGCTACGCTGCCCCACAAGGCGACCCCACGCGAGCTCTCCAAACTGAGACGACTTTCTCTTCCCCGGATAATTAGTACCAACTTTCCCCCTGCCCACCACACCGACATTCGAGACGGTATCACAAAGTGAGAGAAAGTGTGGGATTCTTGTTGGGAGAAAGTGAAAGGAGAAAGTTGGTTAAGAAATTAGTAAAAGTAAATAAACTACCGGAAATAGTTTTAGAGTTGATAAATTAAACATAAATAAATTAAAAAAGTAGTGAGAACGACAGTATTACTGGAGACTTTTTGTGTATGAATGTTGAAATATTGTAATAATAGCAGTCTGGCTGGACGTCATCTCCAATAATCAATCAATTTTTGACCCATCGTGTGACTGGATAAGCCCTCTCTTTACTTGATAACTCATAAAATATTTAGGGAATCGCGTCACAATAAAACTTATACAACTCTCGTTACAGTAATAATATTGAACCCTTCTCTATGCACTTTAAATAAAATATGCAATTTTTTGAACTGAGCTGATGCAATTAAAATGAAATAACAGTAATAATAATTAAATAAATAAGTAATAAACTTTATTATGCAAGTAATATAACAATTTTACAATACAAATATTTCGAAATTACAAAAATTACACGTTACCTCCTTCCTCTTAAAAAAATCTCATCTAGTTTGAAACTTCTTCTTCCAGCAGCAACCAAGTATACGAACTTATACCTTGAAGAAAAAAAACTTTATTGCAACTCTTGACCTTTGGAATCTCAATCAAAATATAAATAAATTAAAAAGTATACATTAAATAAAATACCTAAAAACTTAAAATTATCAAACTTTCCACACCAAATCAAGATTAACTCGAAGGAGGAATCCAATAAAAATTATTTAATTCCAAATAATCTTCCCATAATTGAAGCTTTCAAAATTAATCTCAACACATTTAAGATGCCCCGAAGGAAGCAGAACTGCCCGAAAAGGATGAAATGTAAGTAATAAAGATTTTATATAGCACATTTCGTTTGCATCCGCACAACTTTGGATTTGATCTGATTCTTCAGATTTTTGGCATAATCTCATTCTTTCCCGACTTCCTGAAAAATTCAGGACCAACTTTCTCCCACAGAAGACGACGAACCATAGTCTCACAAAAGAGAAAGTTTTTTTACAGGGAGACTCGAGTCCCTGAACAACTGCGTCTTCTTGTTTAAATCATTTTGCTCCTCATCATCATCATCATCACCCTCATCCCGATACTTGATTATTTATTAAGAATGAAAACAATGTGAAATTAGTTCACTTTCTGTTTCTGAATTTCTGGTCCGCGTGTTGATGGAATAAGTTTAGCTGGTTGTCGGGAAGAGCTACTGCTGGCTGCGTGTGAGTGACAGATGCCAACGTTTAAGATTAGTCAGTCAGTCTTCTGGGCTGCCTTTGCCCTGCTATTTCAGAGAATCTCATGGGATGATCCTCGACGTTTCTGTTCTGTTCTTGAGTTGACAAACTAAGGCAAATCTAGTCTGCTTTTGTTTTGTTTTTGAATTGGAGAAAGTTATAATAAAGTGGGAAGTGGAGGAGGAGGAGAGAAAGTAAGTGGAATAAAAGAAGGAGAACAAGAAGAAGGGTTGATTTTGACGGGTGTACTCCTACGGGCTCCTTGTCTACCAGCTTTGATTTCATACTTCGATCCTGTCCGATCCTGATGCTTTGCACTGTTCGGAGAGAGGGACACAATCCTAGGCTTGCATGACACGAAAAAAAGCCTCTAAAAAAATTGGCAGTTGGGGTTTTAAAAATAAATAATAACAGTTTCCTACTTATTCTTCGTAATTGTTTAATACATATTTTCACCTCTCGAGTGTAATTAATCAGGTAGTAATCACACCTGTGTTATTTTGATGATGGGAAGCAATCTGCACATAATTTGGGACATTTACCTACATCAAAGAAAAAGCTGTTCCTTTGTCGATTTTCACTTTATAACGTGCACACACACACATACACACGGCTAACTGTGATTCTGCCAGACCTAACCTAGAGCAACTTATGTAGCTACTTACTCACCCACTCAGCAGAGTAACGCAGCAGCAGCCATGCAGTCTTTCCATTCATTCATGCCTGTGAAAGCAGGCAGGCAAACGGATGAATGTGGAGAAGTTTGCAAGTAAAGGTTGAGGAAAACCGTATAAAGTATCTCATGCCGATGCTCACACATTTAGACCGCCGCGCCGTGCAGGCAGACGTGCTTTACAAATACTTGTTGTGCTCTGACTCAGCTTATTGTACTTACCACCAGCCAGTCAGCCAGCCTTCCTTCGCAGTGGGTAAGGCTGATATTTCGTAAATCGTAGTAGGTTTTGTTACGGTGGGTTATTTGGGGAAGAGGGTAAATTCCGCGTGTGGTAGTTGTAGTCAAATCCGTACGGAATTGAATCATAGCCTGGGGTCGGAGAGGACGATGTAAATACGGCCGCTTTGAAGAGGAAAAACAAGGTCGAGGTCGTAGATTGGATTGAATTCAGACTTTCCCCTCCGTTTTCTTTTTCAGGAATGTGTAAAAAGAAAAAAAGGTGATATTTTTATGCCCTGGATATAGCAGCGTAATATCTTAAACTCAACTTGAACTTTCACCATTTACACGAGAATATAGCAGTTGCAGTGAAGGCGGTTTTCGAGTCTTTTTTTGTCTCATTTTCCCAATCAGCGTAACATGCACGCTATTTCAGCCAGCCACACTCTGTTTAAAGGCTATTACGCAACTCGATAAAGTCCTGTGGATCCCGAGCCACATTTACACAAGGCAGTCTACAAAGAAAGAGCACCATGCAGTATTTGCTCATTTGAAACAAAGCAAAAAACTCTCCACTTTTTTATATCCCATTGTCTCCTCATGGTTCAGGATGGTTCTTGATTCTCAGAGAGTTCAGTTCCACTTGTTCTTTCATTGTATTTGCTCAATCATCTCCTCATCCCCTTCTTCACTCATCCACCAACCCAGTCAATCATCTTTAGATTCTAGATTGAGCCCAGTCACTCAAACCTCGCATTTCAAATTCAGTGTCACGTCATGTTCAATTCTCAACAAAGTCAAGGAATGATACCATGTCAATTTTCGATAAGTAGTCTCCTATTCATGTAAAAAGCATGTACAAAGTCTGGAACAAAAAAAATGATAATAATGCAATAATCCAGCCCAAGAACTGAAATAAGGCTTGTGTTTTTATTAGTTTATATACATACTTTTGGAGGGGAAAAAACAACAAAATCTTTGTCTGTCCCATGATTGCATGGAGTCAATTCTTGAATTGTGCAGCTTGGACAAACGGAAGAGTTTACAATATACAATGGAGTGTTGGATGGTTGGTTGGTTGGTTTGAGAGGAAGACGTTGATGTCAGGGCAATTTCTGAAACCCTCAAAATTTATGATGGCTTGAGAGACAGCCGTCATAAAGATGAGAAGGGGTGAGCCACCCCACACCACCAACCAACCAACCAGAACTACCAGCATCGAATAAATAGCTCTGCTGCTCTATGTTACGTTCTCGCCGTTTGTTTGCTTCTGATGATGGAATTGAAGAAAATCGAGTGGACGGATCACAAGAAGTGAGTGAGAGTTGAGTGAGTGACTCCAGTCAATTGTGCAGAATATAGTTTTTCTTTAAACTATTTGATGAACAGTTTATTTACTTTTGGAGAATTCTGGGGAGTTTTTAGTACATAGGAAAAATGTGCATGTAACATAACGCTAAGACCAGTTTGAAGGATATACATACACTAGACACAAAGGAAAATTCCTTTTGCCCGAACATGCCCATCTTTAATGAAGTGGCTTCATTATCCGCACAATTGTTTCTGCAGTTAGTCCACTCCGCTGAGAAATTATGCAAGATGGATAATGCTAATGAGGCAATGGTACTAGCAGCGACATAAAAGCGTTTTGTGCTACTCCGTCTGCACAAAGGTTTTCGCATAGAAAACTCAACTGGTGAAAAAGATAAAGGAACAAATCATGTAAACTGTTTATCTCCACCATGTCATACACACACTTGAGCAAATAAAAGTGGTGAAAGTTGCCCCGCTCGGCAACAGTTTGGTTGTTCGAATATCGGATAACAAATAATTACATTCATCGACACATGTCCATTATACCGCAAAACGTAATCCAAACCAAACAGGGTGTCAATACATACTCGGTGACATTACTTATTAACTGGTTATTACTCGTTCCTGGCGAATTATTCGTAACCCACACATGGGAGTGAAAGTACATGTACTGGGATTCTTTGAACTTGTCTTGTTTTGTGGAGGAGTGCGGGCAGTAGTCGGGTGGTGGTGGTGGTGTTGGTTTAGGCAGCCTTGCTTCTGCTGCCGCCGCCGTGATGAGTGTCGAATCGGTTGGGGGGTCGGGAGAAGTTGAAAGTTGTCACTCATCCTGTCCTGGTTCGCTCTCTCTCTCACTCTCTCTCTTTCGGTTCGGTCTGAGCCAGTGTTGCCAACCCTGGCAAGACTTCTTCTTGCACATGTCAGTCATTTGGCATCGACCCGTCACGGGCTATGTTCCCAGGACGTTGCCAGTACTCGTCATTTCCTATCGATCTGGTCTTCTTCTCCCACCAACCGCCACCACCGACAGCACACCAAGTCCACTCTCTCTCTCAACTTTCCTTTTCTCTCTTTCTCTAAAAACACACACACACATACACGTTGGCTCTCTCTCTCTCAGGGTTGGCTTAACTTAACCTCTTCCACATGCACTCGTCCTCCACTCAAATTGTAGAGTAGGTAATTCCACACTTCAATTGCAAAGAGAGAGGGAAAGTTGCGGGCAATGAAAACATTGGGAGAAAGGAGATGAAATCTGATATGTACAATCTTGACGGATTTTTTGTGGGTGGTGAAATTGGTGCACTCATTTTGGGGTGTTTGATGTTGAGGCTCATTTATGATTCAGAGGGTTTGTGGCAAATTGATAATTTGTAGTTGGTTTGAGTTTCTGTCACCGGGCTTAATTTGCTTACTGAGCAGCTCAAACTGGGTTTCTTTCAATAGTTGATGCAATTTTTGGATGTTTCACAGTGAAAGTTTGCTCAGTCATCTTGGCCAAATTGGTGATAAAGCAAGCATATGGAGTCAGTATGCATGCATGTGTTTGCCGTATCACGGGTGGCGTGGCCTCATTCACGATATTCAGTCGCATATATGCATCCATATCCTTGTTTCATTTTCATCCTTCGGAGGAGGAAGGGCGGAAAGTAGGATTAGCCGACCTGGTGGCTGGCTTGGTCGTCCTAGGTGAGTGAAGACTTCAATCTTAAGTTGAAGTGTGAGTTCACGTCCGGCCCACCATCAGCACCGCCACTGCCACGACCATCATCATCATCACGGCTTTCTCCAACTTTCCTATTTCCCTTCTTCCCCATCCCATTAATACGTGGTGGATGGGTTGCTTGCTTGCTCTATAGGTTGGCTACTGTCCATCCAAATTTCGCCTCCTTCCCCCACCGTCACTCTCTGCCCGTCAACTATATGTCCTTTCCGTCCATCTTTCCATCCGCCGTTCGTACTTGGTTCGCCCGACCCCGGCCAAACTTTCTCCAACTGCCAGCTTCCATCACTCCACTTCAACTCACACCAGTCACTCATTCATCTCGCTAACTGCGCCTTCTTCCTCCTCCGCTCCAACGACTCCTCACTCACACAATCCCAATTCCTCCTTCTCCGCCAATTCAACAAAATCAATATATACGACTCTCAAAATTCCTAATTCCAATTTTACAAGGTTTCCCTTTAAAAAAATAAAATATGAAACGCATGTTACGCTTTTAAAAATGTACTCCCGATTTCAAGAATGAATGGTAGTTTTCCCTCCTCCCCTCTGAATCCCCCCCAACGCGAGGAAACACATTACTCTTTATTTTATTAAACCATATTTCACGTTTAGTTTTGTCGCAATGAATGAATTGGATATTGGGCGGATGGCGCGGCTT